TCTCTTTATGTTTCACTATATATATATGTCTCACATTTTTTAATAGCCTTGGATCCATTTCTTCGTTCCAATAGATGTCAAATAATGTTTAGGCCTTCAGGATTGGATTTTCTGCAGCTGAAATGAGATCTCAACTTTTCATATGCAATGAGGTCCTTTGTTGACTTAAATAATGAAAAGGTCATTTAGGCTACAAACTTGTATAAAATAGAGACCGTCTATATCTGTACTGAAATTTCAAATTAATTGAGTTATGCTGCAACTAGGATTGACCTCTTAATCTTTTGTCCATTCTTTTTAAGTTAAAGAGGTAGATACTAGTGACTTGAGATTTTAAGCAGGATCAAACCTGTGACCTCCTAGTTATAGGGGAGCATCCATGCCATTAGGTTACATGACCTTTAGCATCATTTCTCCATTCTAGTGCATAAGATTGATGAAGAGCTATATAATTTTTCTCATGTTCATCATCTGGATTTTCAGTGTTGCAGTTCCCATCTGGTCAAAACAAGCCCCTGCCATTCGTTTTAGCTTTAGTCCCACCGCTGGTACTCTCATTGTTGGACCCAGAAATATTTTTCAAAGCCTTAGACTTTGCTGGAACCTATGGAGGTATATCTATAATGAATGCCTGGGCATGTCTCTGTACTTTTGTTTGTCGATTATTTTTATCGTCAAGTTAATGTCCAGCCTGAGAAACGGAACTATGTTTATGATTCATTTTTTTCTATATAATTCATAGTTTTTTTTTATCGGGGATTAATTCTGGTGCAGCAAGTTTTTCTCATAGTTTCATTTCAATTTGTAGTGTTGGTGCTTTTTGGAATTATTCCAGCAGCAATGTCCTGGTCTGATAGGTACTCAAATTCGAATTCAGATTCATCTCCACCTGTGAAACTACCTGAGCTCGTTCCCGGAGGGAAGATAACTCTACTTCTGGTTCTTGGAGGTGCTGGATATGTTGTTCTTTCTGAATTGCTTGAGAACTTCCAGAGCCTTCAAAAGATTTAATTTTCTTTTTTCCATTTTTCGACGATAAATGAAGTATATCTTACTATAATGTAAAGGAGTGCCTTGGAATGAGTGGTTCCGTACAGATTTCATCCATCTCTCCCCATCATCTTGCACCCCCAGGCTGTTTCGAATATTTGCTTTGTTTTGTGTCCTTGAAGCAAAAGGATTCAACAGGAACTTAGGTTTTCTTAAATTTATATATTCCTCTGTTTTTTATTAGAAGAGCTATTTAATTAATTTGAGTAAATTATATAATTTTAACAAATGTGATTTGATTTCTCTAAAATAACCTTATATCCAATATAAGTTAATAAGCTAGATAAATTAATTTGAGGAAAAATGATAAATATAAGAGAAAAATTAGATTAAGATATTATATTTAGAATCAATATAAACTCCCCAACTAACTTCTACATTTAGTAACAGAGGAGTATCTTTTTAATGAGAGCATAAAAGAAAAATTTTAATAAATATTTCAAATAAGAGGACAATGTTTCTTATAAATAAGACCAATAGAACTAAATTTTCTTATAAAATGACTCGAGGAAGTACTTGTTTTTACAAGAGCTAGGTTCAAATCTTGTTGTGAAGGTAAGAGCTATATTTGTGAGTAATATTTTGATATTTTTCTAGAAATGTTTCTTATAAAATTTTTTTATTTCCAGAAAGAGGGAAAAAATCGGAGTTTCTTATCAAAAGGTGAGGCGGCGAAGCCCCCTTGCCAATCATCATTTCGAAAGCCTTATGGTTAGCCTATCAATGAATTATTAATTAAATCTTGTTAACAAGTCTTGGCCAAAAAAGGACGAAAATCTTGCTACTAACTTACTCATTTTTTGTTTCAGAATTGAAAGTAATTATTTAAAGAAAAAGCGTATCATAATTTATTTTCTTGAACTTTTGTTGGCAAAACTTTAACTTTTATTTATTATCATTTTCCATTAATTTTTTTTTGTTATTACTCATTAGCAACCTCAATGAACAGTGATAAGACCTGAATAGGTTTGAAGGTTTTTAGTTAAAGGAGATAATGAGCGTGTGTAATGTCCAATTAAACTTTATTTGATTTAATTATTATATTTTATTTCTCCATTCTAACCATTTATTTATAATAGTAATCTATTGTAATAGTAGTCACAAAAGTTACGGTCAGAGTTGGGGGCATTTGGGGTTGGGGTCTTATAAACCAATGATACCAAACATCTCTTTAAATTTTTTAAATGTGTAGTAGCGAATTTAATTTTTTTATGGGCATCTTGGTTGTATAAGTTCTTTTCATTAGGGGAAAGAAGAAAAGGAAAAAAAAAAAAGAGTTGGAGGGATTTGGGCGCGAGCCAAACGAACCACAGGACATGCAAAGATAAAATATATTACTCAATGTATGTTGAATATATAGTGGTGCAAGAAAAGTGAGTATTGCAAGTATTTGAAATCCAAGATACAGATGAGATTTAATGAACATGATCATCTCTACTATGTCTTTAGAAGTTTACTTGAACAAAAAAGGTTCTTGAAAGGTAAAGTATGATAAAAACACATGCCCAATCAAAGTTAACACAAATAGGGTGACCTCAGAGAGTTACATGTCTCAATAGTAACTATACTTAAAAAGCCAAATACATCGCCAGGTTTTGAGAGGTCATCCTTCACACTGGCCAAGCTTGCTCTTGCATCACTAAGTTGTTCTTCTAATGTGCTAATTTCAGACTCCAACTGATCCAGCTGCTTCAACTTGTTATCATGTTCAGCTTGCATATCCATCACTCTCTGGCGAATAGACGCCAGCCACATCTTGTCAAAGCCAAAATAATCCAGGTCATAATATAGATTTGCAAGTTCCACCATCTTTGAATCATCCATTGTCTTAGGAGTCTCTGATTTTAAAAATGCCAACATGTCAGCTAAGGATTTGTACCCCACCTTGCAAATCCTGAGACTCCTTTGTGAGAGTTTCCATTCACATAAATGTGGATATTTGACAAATGCCTCGTCAAGTAAGCGAGCCCGTCTTTCCTTAAATAGACCATGAAAATCAACCAACTGCTCGGCAGGAGCGTGCTCATTTGTTGAAGATGAAGTCAGTGCTTCTGCAATTAGGGGAGTGGTAGTGATGCTAGTACTTGGCGAAAGCACTGTTGGATCTACATGCAGAGGAAGAGACACTCCTTATAACAATGATAACAATTTCGGTTTAACTATTTAAAGTTGGAGAAAGTGGGGAAGTCATAACAATAAGTTGCAATTTATTTGAAGCTTGGAAACATTTTCAACTGAAATTTTGAACTTGTTGCATTATGAGAAACCTGGCAAGATATACTAATTCTTTTGAGCAATTCGAAAGATACCTTTGTATTCTTGAAGAGCTTGTAGCGGGTCCCTCCCAATCTGAGGTTGTCTGTCAATCAACACCTGTAATGGAACCAAAAATCATAGCCTTTTAGGTACTCTTTATGATGTTATCCCATCAAGAAGCAGGTGAAGTTACCTCTGATGGAGTTCTGACTGTTGATTCTTCTGCTGCAGAATCTTTTTGAAAACCGACCTTTGCAATTTCCGTGTTACTCTATGCATTAATTGACAATTGATATATACTAGTTTCTACGTTTAACTTCAGTGATTAACTTAAATTTTATACACCTAAAATGAAACTAATTTATTGATGTAAATGAAAGTAACAGGGCTCGAAATACACCTCTCTCGGGTTCATTGAACCAACTTTTAGATCAAATTCTGATTGAGGATGAACCTCTACAGCGTCTTGAACCTTTGCAACATTTGCATTAAGTTCAACCTGTGGTTCTTCACTGATCAACTCCTGTGTACCAGCCACCATTTTTAGCGTTTTACATTGTATTCTATAAAATGTTATTGCTATAATGAAGAGGGTACTGAGCCTACCTGTGTTGATGTTCCCACTTTTGATCCTTCTAGTCCAGTATCTTTATGAGAACCTCCCTTTCCTATTTTTGTGCAGCTCTGTGCAATAATTTCCAAATGAAAAATTTCAGTTTGTGAGTTACCTTCATAAATGAACTTACTTTGATAAACCTAAAGAAGAACGCCTCAGGTTAAATTATACTCATAAGGTTTAGAGGAGGGAGTTAATACGAGCTCTGAATACTATGGATAAAGCTAAATTTTTGGTCCACATAATTCAAAAGGTCTTAATTGAGCTGTTATAGATGGAAAAAAGAAGTTGATTTAGTGTTTAATTTGCTATTATATTTCTGGCAGTAATTCCTTATTTTTAATATACAAGGCTTACTAGATTTCATCTTATTCATATGTGTGTGTGTGTGTGTGTGTATATGTATGCATGTACAATCCAAATCAATTAACTCGAGTTACTTAAAAAAGTTTGCATCACAAAGCATGTAAGGAAGTTAAAGTTACTTCAGTACCTACTTTTGCTCCGTTTGTTGGCATAAGTCAGACACATGCATAACATCAAAATTCCATATGATTAGATGCATCAGTAAAATTTAGAGTAATTTTTTGGTGTCATAAATCATTCATGTTCATGTCAGGGATTAAATTAACTTGTTAATATATATGGGGGCATAGTTAACAATTGAGTGAAACTACAACAACCACAAGAACAACAATGAAGAAAGATAGTAATAGGAATCAGGATAAACCTCTTGCAGGTTCATTGAATCAACTGGACAGAATTTCTGCTTTGGAAGGCCTTCTTGAGTGCCAACAATTTCAATTTCTTGTGAGTGGGGAGGAACCTCTGCAGCTGCTTGTACGTAGATAAAAAAAACAAAAGAAAAATTCGTATCCATGAAGATTACAGATGGAGGGGGCAAAAAAAAAAAGAACAATTAAGAAATTCATACCAGTAGCATCCTGCTTGGGCAAATGAAAATTTGAACCTGTTGCGATGGATCCACTTTAAATGTCATTATTGCCCCTCTGATTATCTTTATCTATATTAACATCTTGAACATTAGAAGGACAATAGCAAAGATTATATCTTCATTTCAATGAGTTGATCCAGCTTGTGATGGTGCTTCTTCGTCTTGGTGGATGGCAACAACTTCACTCGGATCTAAAGCCAAGGCAGGTGACAAGGAATCTACAGATGGATTTCCAGCAGCTGCCACATCAACTTCTTTGTTTTCTTGACAGCTTGTGGAACTGTGCTCAATCACATTACTGTTGTCCTCTAGTGTTGCATATTCTACTTCCTTGTGTTTTTCTTCTCTCCTGTCCATATCTTCACCATCATCCTCATGGTAATCTTCTTCTTCTTCTTCTGATTGCTATTTTAGAAATAAAAAATTAATTTAGGAGAGAGGTCATATATTCGTATATGGCAATTAGTCACTGCATTGTCTCATTATGTAAAACCGTTTTGTTCCCCTAATTTTTTCCATGGAAATTTTGAAAAGAATCGTTCACCTGGGCTTTCGTACTCTTGTAGCAAGTCGTCTGGCTTCCAAACATGAGCTAATATTTGTTTCAGCTTTGGACAGTCATGCACGTGACATAGCTCACATTGCAACTTAATGCCTCGTTGGATAATGATCAGACTTGGTAGCTTCACTAAATGTAGAACATCGAGCTTAGGAAGCATTTCTTCTGCATCACCTTGGGCAATTTCCTTACTCTTGCCTTTTATTACGTATTCCAATCCAGAGCACTCTGTTATCTCCAAAGAGTTCAACCACGTTAAGGTTTTTGCAGTTGATACTATGAACAACAATCTCAGCCTTGGACATGATTTTACAGTCAGGCTTTGAAGATTAGATAGATTGAACGATTCTGGAAGCATGACACCTTTTACAGCTTTTAACTTATCCCCTTTGCACATATGGATGAGCTCTGGTAGATTTTTCAAACTTAGGAAGAAAAGACTTGGAAAGATAGCTTGTCCACCATCTTTTTCAACTATTGCCTTCCTTTTATGTGCTTCAGCACTATCATCTTTCAGTAGAACTTTCATTCCAGGACACTCTTCTATCTTCAAAGTCTTCATCAATCTCAAGGTTTTAGCAGCTGATACAGTGAACAATGACCCTAAGATCGGACAAGACTTTACTGTTATCTTTTGGAGGTTGCAGTTATCGCTAAATGGCCCTGAAAGTAGTCACACATAGATTCTTTTATATCAGATGTACAAAAATAACATTTATCATTAATCAAGCAAGTATATATGTATGTTCTTTTTTTGTTGCTTTTAAAGAAAAAAGGTGCATATTTAAGTGTACCTGTGTGCTCGCCATCGTAATACTCATGCTCAATGATTTGCTCTACCTGAGAACAATTTTCTATGATTAATTCACGCAATGCTGATGCGTATGTCATTATACGGAGTGAGAAAATGCATTTTAGCTCTCCACATTTATATATTTTCAGTCTTCGAAGGTTGTGAAGTTGTTTGTGATACTCACATATGTACCTCAAATTAGGTAGATTCTCCATAACCAAATTTTGGAAGCATGATAATGATAATGACTTTGATTCCATATCAGTCGTAGGTTCGGTTAAGTGAAAACTGCCTTCCATTTTGTATTCTTCAAGATGAAGGTCTCCTGCTCTTTGCACAACCATGTCGCTGCTTTGTTTTGCTGGAAGTTCCAACTCCTACAAAATTACACACTTGATCAATAAATTAAAAGTATCATGATGAAGAACAAATAATTAACCATTTAAGATGCATTATTCTTATATATATGTGTCTATTCAAACAATCACACGTTAGCATTACCTGCTCCCTAGACTTGCCACCACCTTGCTGAATCGCTACTTTTGAATCTGAATCAGATATGATGCTCAATTGTGGAAGGCCACCATGAAAAGATGCTGGTATGATGAATTCCAAATGTGGACATCCCTGGACGCAGACTTGTTTCAATTTTGGGAAAATAGGCCCTGCTTGAGTAAGTGCATCTTCCTCCTCATCTTTTATTATCTGCTTCAGGGAAATGCAATCTCATACTTTCAGGGTTTCCAACAATACCATAGTTTGAGCGGTAGTATATGTTAAGATACATGTCAAATTTGGACAATCCTCCAATTGCAAGTGCTTGAGATTACAAAAATTCAGCTTGCCCACGGAGACAATACAGCGCAATTCGCTACATTCCACTATAAATAGGTCTTGTAAATTCTCGAAAAGATTGAAAGGAGGCCGACCACAGCTCAAGGCCTTAAAGCACTTCATCGTTCTAATTTTCAGCTTCAGCAACCTCGAGAAAACAGTTGTAGCCTGATTTGTGGTGTCAATGAAGCATTCTATGTTGTCAGAATCATGAAGTAAAATTTCTGTCAACTCGTTCATACACTCTCTTTCTATTGGAATCATGTCAGGGAAGATATTTTTGCAATCTCCTTTGATATTTTCCAAAAACAGAACTTCTGATTTTTCCGCCATATGCTTCATTTCTTCATTTGAGGTAGGGATGTTAAAACCATTTACAGATATGAATTTTGTGATCAAATAATTTTCCAAAGTATCTATGAGACTTCCAATTTCAAGATGATACCTTTGCAGTACCTTAGAGGAGCCAATCTGGTAAAATAATTCAACAACATTATGATCATCTGACACCATTTCTGGAAGACTATTCTCAACAAAATAGAGCTCTTCAAGTTGGGAACATCTGGCTAGCACCTCAAAAGGATTGCTCCCTATTATGCACCCCCGCACTTCCAACAAACTTAACCTTCTTAGTTCTGCTAATTCTTTAGGTAGCTCTGTTATTACACAATACACGAGTTCAATAGTGTCAAGCATCTCCAGTTTTCCCAACATAGAGATGTTGTTCAAGGGCCATCCTCTCAAGCAAACAGTTCGAAGCTTTTTCAACCCAGCCACTGATTGAGGCAAGAGTAGATCTGGGATTGTCCATGTAGATGTATTTATTATGGTCAGCACCTTGAGCTCTCTCGTCTCAATGAAAAAAGTATCTGAAAAATCTGATGTACACCCACCATCATGAGAAACAAACAGAAACTCAAGTTTGGGGAAATTTAATTGATTTGTGTATTCATTTATATCATGACAATATAATCTTGTTGTATCCACATAAACCCTCTCTAGTAAGTCTGTTTGGATCCGGGCCATGATCACTTGACTTTCCCGTGCTAACCGAAAGGCTACGTTACGCACCATGTCATGAATGCACATGTATTGTCTTTCTTGGTCTTCCTGTAGTACCAAATTAGAGTTGATGAGTTTATCAATGATGGCTACCACTTCGATTCTAGCTCTTTCATAAGAGTCAACATCCTTAAATATGCCCAATCCAAATGCAAATCTGATCAAAATTTCCCGAGCGATCTTTGAATCTTCTGGAAAGAGGGCACATAAAAAGAAAAGTGATCTCGCTTCATCATCACCCAAGTGATCGATACTTAATTTCAGACATGTATAAACACTTCCCATCTCACTTGGTATATTGGTTGTTTCATGATTTCTCAATGTCATAAATGCTTCCTTCCAAACATCTTCATCATCACCCAAGTGGTTGATACTTAATTTCATACATTTATAGACATTTCCCACGTCACTTGATATATTTGCTGTTTCATGATTTCTCAATGTCTTAAATGCTTCCTTCCAAACATGTTCTGGTTTGTCTTTGGCCAAAGCAATAACTGAAAGAGGTAATCCTTGGCATTCTCTTGAAATCAGAAGCGCCAAATATTTTGATGTATCTTGTATCAAGCTCGCATTGCTTTCGAATAAAACCCAAGCTTCCTCAACGTATAGGAGTGATAAATAGGTCACTCTTTGACACTCCATCAAGGTATATACACGTTCTGAACGGGTAGTCAAAACAACCTTGCCATTTCTGCCAAGGGGAATCCCAACGTCCTCAAGTTTAAGCACTTCCAATATATCATCCAAAACTAAGAGAATTTTGTCACCATTATTTGATCTCATGGGTAGTCTTTTAGCTCTTGCAGTCTCATCCATGTCATAATCAAGTCTGAAACCTAAATGGCTTGCAATTTGACCTTGAATTCTTCTAATGTCTAGAGGAAAGGACACCGCGACAAAGGCCACCTTATCAAAGAGTTCCAAGCTCTCCACTTCATTGCATATTTCTTTGATCAAGAACATTTTACCGCAACCCGGCATTCCACAAAGACTAATCATGTAAATCTCATCATTTTCCAATGCCGCCAGAATTTCGTTGTACGGCCTTTTTCTAGATTCAAAGATACTGACATTGTCACGGCGCGTGATTCTGGGTTGAGATGGCAAACTGTTTGGTGTCACTGTTAACCTTTCATTGAGCTGGTTCACTGTTTCAGTCATTTCTTCGAAATGCTTGCCTACTTTATATCGAGACAACCAATTAGGAAGAACACCATTACAACAGCTCTTGCTTGCTTCTCCTTTGCGTTCCAACTTCTCCACTTTTTCTATAACAGCTCTTGCTTCTTTCATTTGCACCTGCTGCAGAGGGTCTCCCGATGTCTTAACGCCCGCTAATTTTGACATTAACATGTCATTTTCCTTTCTGAGATCTGCAACAAAAGTATTGAATCGATAAAAATAGCGAGCTTGTCGTACTATTGCTTGCACCAAATCTTTTGCAGACCTGACCCTTGTATTGAATCTCAAGTCTCCAACACTTCCCATTGAAAGCAACTCAGCCCGAATACAAACCATAATACTAAGTACTACTTCCGGTCCTAATTATAAGACCCAGTTTACTAATTTGAGGAAATTAAGGAAGTAAGTTAAGTTAGTTATTTGTAACAAATAAGTGTTGTCATTCCTAAAATATCCTGGCTAATTAAGTGTATTGATTAGAATTATCATTATTAGAAGGACTATCTTGGGAAAAAAATATATAAATATGAGAGACAAAATGGATTGGAGTCTTATAATTAGGACCAAATTAAAAGTCAAATGGGGTCTTATATTAAGGACCGGAGGTAGTAATTAGAAAGTGATTGATGCAATTGTTAGGCTAAGTTATAATAGCGTGTGTGAGTTACCTGCTTCATGGCCTCGTCTCCATCTTCATGTCTCACCTCTGAATCTAAATCAAACATGCCACTCAACCCTGGACATCCCGTTATAATTGCTTTTTCCAATGGCAACTTGGGATCATAATTTTCTGGGCAAATTCTGATGATATTTGACAAGTTAATGAGCTTGAACAGTTTCACCGCTGAAAAGTCAATGCTGATCTCATTCTGGTTTTCATCTTTTTCATGATTATCTTCGCCGAATACATATTGCAACTCAGCAGCATCTTCTATTTCGAGACTCTCCAGGTGCAAAAGACCACTCGCAACAGAGATCGGCAATATGCATTCCAGATTTTCACATCTTTTGACACGGATTTGTTTCAAGTTTGAGAGCGCAGGCCCCACTAACATATCTTCATCATCATTTTCAACTTTTATCATGTACCTCAATTTACCACAATCTGTTAGTTTCAGCGCTTCCAACATCACCATTTTCTTAGCAGTGGATTGTGAAGAGTGATGCCAATTGGCTACAGTTTGTTATAAATAGTTCCTTTAAATTCTCAAAAAGGCCAGAAGGAGGGGGACTTTGGCATAAGGCCTCCAAGGGCTCCATGGCTTCAACTTTCAACTTTTGCAAGTTGGCCAAGAGGATTCTAGTCTGATATAGTTGATCATTTGCGGTGTCAATCAGCCATTTTATGCGATCAGAATCACGAAGCACAAATTCTTTTAACTCCTTCAAACATTCACCTTGTATTGGAAACATGCCAGGAATGATGCTTTCACTATCTCCCTGAATTTTTTCAAAGAAAAGACCCTCTAGCGTCTGGGACAATGCCTGGAATGCGTCATTTGTAATGGAGGCATCAAAATTATTTATAGATATGAGTTTAGACAATGAATCATCCTTGGGAGTATTTATAGAGCCTCCAGTTGCCAGATGATACCTTTTCAGTACCTTAAAGGAGCCAATTTGGTGATAAAATTCAGCAACGTTCTGACCAATCTGCATCAGTTCTGGAAGATGATTTTCAACGAAGTAGAGCTCTTCCAAATGTAAACATTTGGCAAGCACCTTATAAGGTTGCCTCCTATTTTGCAATTCGATACCTCTAACAATTTTAATGCCTTCAAGTTCGCTAATTCTTTAGGAAGCTCTTTCATTACACAATCCAGTAGCTCAATAGTGTCAAGCATCTCGAGCTTTTCAAACATAAAGATAATAATTAATGTCCATCCTCTCAGGCAAAGAGTTCGAAGCTTTTCAAGTCCTTCAATTGATGGAGGTAGCAATAGATTTGGTTTTGTCCCAATTGATGTATTTTCTATGGCCAGCACTTTCAACTTCGTCATCACTTCGAACAACATATCTGGGAATTTCTATGCCATGGCAATATAATCCGTTTGTATCTTTCATATAATCCGCCCGTATCAGGTCTACAATCTGTGTAAGCCCCATAATTACTTGAGTTTTTTTTATTCGCTTCCCATAAAGCCAAGGAATGGAACATGTCATGTAATTTAACGTGCCGTCCTTCCTGCAGTAACAAACAATGGTTCTTGAATTTATCAATGGTCTTACGCACTTTGGACCTAGCTCGTTGATATGAATCAATATCTGGAAATATGCCTAACCCAAATGCAAGTCTGATCAGAGCTTCAATTGCAATTTCTGAATCGCTGGGGAACAGAGCACATAACAAATAATGTGATATCTCTGCCTTATCCTTCAACTCATCAAAAGTAAATTTGAGACCCCTATAAGGATCATCCAGTCCTTTTTCAATATTTAGCGGCTGTTTACGATCTTTCAATGTATCCAGTGCATCTGTCCACGTAAAAAGTTCTCTGCCCCTCGAAGTACTGGCCACAGCTTTGATTGCAACGGGTAATCTGTGACATTCAGCAGTGATCTTTCGAGCCACTTCTTGCAGGAATGGTCCTTTTATTTCACCAGCATACTTTTGGAACAATTCCCATGCTTCGTCTGGCGTTAAAAGTGATAGATAAATCGGTGCATCAAATTTCATCATGTCAAATAAATGTCGGCGCCGAGTACTCAGAAGAACCTTGCAATTTTCACGAACAGGAATCCCTATGGCTTTGAAGTCAAGCACTTGCCACACATCATCCAAGATTATAAGATATTTCTTATCCTCTTCAAATGGCATGGACAATCTCGCAGCTTGATCAGTTACATTCTTCTCCGTCTCAAATACCAAGCCTATGCAGTTCGCAATGCTGTCTTGAATAGCTATGTAGTTTGGAGTATTTGACACAATGGCAAATGCTGTCTTGAGAAGTTTACAGTCTTCCACTTCCTTACGCACTTCTTCTAACAAGGACGTCTTACCACAACGTCCCATTCCATAAAGCCCAATAGTTATCTTCTTATCATCTCTCAGTGCCATTAAGATTTCATTGCACGCCTCTTCTGTGCACTTCAATAGAACGAAATCTTCTGATGGGGGCAGATACTTAAGTGATAAACGATGAGCAGATGATAGCTTTTGCCTCAACTTGCCATTAAGCTGCTTCATTGCTTCCGTCTTCTTCTCTGCATTTTCTTTCCAACAAGATATCGGCATATTCAGTTAGGAAAAACCCCATGGCAACAGCTTTGCTTTACTTCTGCTTTCTCTTTCAGCTTGTCCACTTTGTCTAATAGTTCATTTGCTGCCTTCAACTGCAGCCGAACGTCTCCTGTTGGCTCTTTGCTGTTGGCTCTGTCTTTTCTAAATTGGACTAGCACGCCATCTCTGGTAGCTATTAAGTTTTCTTGTTCATCAACCAGATCTGTAACAAGCTTGCCGAATTCATAAGAATAACGAGCTTGCTGTCCTACTGCCTTCACTAAATCTACTGCAAGCCCAGCCCCAAAATTGACTCCAAAGTCTGTACCCGCCATGGAAAGCAACTCAACCTCAATAGAATTGTAAAAAAGTAAGCCATTTATGCAATAGCTAAGCAAGTACAATAGGGGGAAAAAAATCCCTAGACATCAGAAAAATATAAATTGAAAGCCAATGATATAACAAAGATGTATCTTAATTTATTGGTCTTATTATATATCGAGATTTTAGTCATGCGATTATTTTTTAGATTTTCTGGGGTTGAATTAAATGATAGGTTTGTACTACCTCCCATCTTAAGTAGAAGCAAAATCTAACAAATTTTTTTTTCATTTTTATGATAAGCAAAAGCTACCCATGTTAAGTTGTATTAGTTCATGTTCCCAATTTGACCTCTATTCAAAATTACAACAGATGAATAGTTAGAATTGCGACAATAAATAATCATCATTACTGATGGGGTGTTTCAAGAAAAAAAATCTATCTCATGTACATAATTAAGAAAATAATTAACTTTCTTAAACCTTGTGTGTGTATGTGCATGTAAAAGAGTGTTCACACGTGTTGGTGGAGTTTAAGAACAAGATAAAGGAAGATACACAACGCAAATAAAATGAAACAAAAAAGAGCATACTAACCTTGCTTATGTTTTAGATTTTTGTTGATGGGTAGAAGAACAAAGCAATTAAACCAGAGAAAGCTATATCCAAATACCAGCAAAACAGGCTGCCCAACAACTGCAAAACAAAAAGGTCGAGAACTTCCACAAGAGTCAAGGCACAAGGGTGGATACAAATCTTTGGTATGAAAAAAAAAATGAAAATATATAGTAAAGTGAAATTACTAGCTAGCTAGCTAGTCTCCATGTAAACTATATAGCACTTCCCATCTTTTTAATAAAATGTACATAATTTAATTGCACAGATTAAAAAAAAAAAGGTTAAAATTGATTGAAGGCAGTAAATATGTCACCCATGCAACTTGATTTTCAAAAACACTTTTGTTTATGAAGAGAGAATGAGCAAACCAGTAATTAATATGGAATGAGACTAACCAATAATTAATAACTAGAAAATAATAAAAAATTTTAGATTGACTATAATTGTCTCTTATAAATAGGAGTATGTCATGCTTAAAAAAATTCTCTCATATATAGGATTAGAGGGAGTATTAAACATATTACGACAAATAACAATAATGTACACAAAAGGATGCGAAAATTCATCCAAAATTTATATTTATGTTATAGGTGTTAAATTATGTGGATGTCCATAAACTTTATTAACTCTTGGCTTTTCATATTCTACACTCCTTGGCATCCCTAACAAATAGTTTTTAGGGTTTTCATTCCCTAACTCAAATTTGTAATTGTGCATTTGTGTGAATTAATTTTATTATTTATATTATGCAACTCTTGATTGGATTTAGAAGACTATGAATAGAAGAAGATGCTATGCAATACACATAGGGCACATCTAAGTGAATAAGTTACTCCCTCTTTTCCTTCAATTCTCTCTTATCTTGCTTATCTCATCCTACATCTCTCTTATATTTTAGTACTTTTATAACAATTTACCTCTTCTTTGGAGGTCTTAACTCTGGTGATGCCTGCAACTGAAAACATTGACAGAAGAAGGACAAATAATTGACCGAAACAAAACTGAAAAGAATGGAAGAATCCAGATAAAGAATATATTAGACCATGCTGATGTCAAATTAGAAAGCATAAGCATGTATACATGTACATACGTATGTGTATGTATGTATATGTACATATGTATGTATATAAAATTATACGCTTTTTCCTTCTGTATAACAATAGCACCAACATGCATTCACACCAGGCAAGTTTCATAAATGGAGGTTTCCATATAGTTTACGAGTAGTGTGCCTTGCTGGAGATTTTACTTAACCCTAAGAAGTGCTAACATGTCATGAACACAATACACACTAAATGCATAATAAACATAGAGGATATCGCCAACTCGTGAACTTAACTGATACAAAGCTATATGATAACACCTAATTATTCTGATTTGGTAGTTTGATCTATGCCATGATTGATCATCCATGAACGTTGATAAGATCCTTCCATTTAGCAGCACCTTAATATTTAAGGGTGAGGTTCAAAGGAGGGAAGGCTTATGGTGGATAACACATGAGAAATAGTGATATGATGAATACAATAAAAATATATGCTAACCCTTTTTTTTTTTTCCTCCTGAGTCTTCCGCCCGTGCTTGTCGATAGGGAAGTCTCCTTTTTTTGTTTTTTAAATTTTTGTTGCTTTGTGGAATATCAAAGCAATCAACGAAGGGGAAGCCAATTAAAATGAAGATTCAAAGTGCAAAGCATCCTTAACGTAAAAAAGAAAAAAAGTACAAAGCAATCAGGACGCACAAACTGCAAAGCCAAAGGGAAATATTCGGTAATGAGTATAATACATAACAAGCATGAACAAAAGAACGTGTAAGTAAAAGATGATACATTCATTATTTTTCAGTCTCGGTGTATAATTGAAAGATATAGTACAAGTCAAGAATAAGAATAGTACAGCAAAAGCAGAGTAGCTCCTCATGAAGGAAAATGAAGTGCTGAAAACACAACTCCGGCAACCTTAATTACCGGAGGGAAAGAACAGAGCCAGCTAGAGAGAGAGAGGCGAAGACGAAGATGAGTGAAAGGGAAAGGAGACAAGGGTGTACAATAAGAAAGGAAATATCGTTGTAGCCAAGCTCAATTTGGAAAATTCATAGTTGAAAAGGGAAGCAAAACAAGGAATAGCTTGCCATGTCAACCTTAAAAACAACCCTACATCTCCCACTTTACCCCTAGGCTTTCTTAAGTTCTAATGTTTGCCCTCTTAATTACTGGAGACCATGAAGTCAAATTTCCAAGTCTTTCTTTTAGTAATTTTGTTGACGTATTCTTTGGCTTCTCTCTATATTAATAATAGTAGTAGTAGTAAAAATAATAATCTGTTATTTGTCAATTTGTTCACATTAGTTGATTCCTGCTTGTTTTGGCTTTATTATACCTCTTGCAATATAATAATCCATAGTCACAGGGAAATCATTGAGTAGTAAATTATAATTTCTTCCCATTTCCTTTTCCCCCACTTTATTAATTCAGGTTGTACCATCCAGTATCCACTGAACGTAGAGATGTCATTTTTCTGACGAGGTCATGTTCAAAAAATGGATATATCATGCTAAATTTATAAATATGTTGTCCCTATTTATTTTATTTTACATATTTTTGCTCCTTAAATATAATCGTTACATCAATTTATTTTGCATCCTAAATTTATAAATTTTTTAACCTATCCCCTATTGATTGTACATATATCAAACTGGTCTTCATCGATGGGCAGAGTAATAATCAAAAGGATATTTTAAAAAGAAAATTGACATATATTTATCATAAATAAGACACGCATATCAGCTGCAAATTTTCTATGATCTTAAAGCCTGTCGACATGAAAGTGATAGTATAAATTAATCTATTATTTATTCGTATACAAACCACCGGCTCCATATCCATAGTCTGAAATATTCCGTTTATTTAGTGTCACCATCGTTTAAAAATTAGGGGGGAAAAAAAATTCTTCACATTTCATTGTCCTCCTTTCTGAGTCTCCTGACCCGGCATTAGACAATCCATTTTGTGTGTTTCGTTCAAATAAAGCCATTCCATTCCAATACCAATCCAGATTTCAATGATCAAAAAATTACCACTTATGCTTGAAGGGGTTGTTTTACTACTACTAAATATTAAACCATAATTTCTTTTATTTCTAGTATTTTTTTTTCAAAATATTCTTATTAAGTATCAACAAGCAATGAAATTTAAAATATTAGTATCACTTTTGGCAGTTGCAAATTTTCTATCATCTTGGAGATCATGCAGCCAATCCACATGAAAGCAATATTTTAAAAGTCAGAATCCAGGAATGAAATCACACGAGGCCGATGACTTTGGCTACATGGACCCAACTTCAGGAACTATTTTCCAGCTATATGCAGAATTCTAATATGTAATATTGTGTTTTTCAAAGGGACAAAAATAAGAATATAGAGGTCCCACATGGACTAGCACGTGAAACAAACTATACTATATAAAAACCTTACACAATTGGCAGCAGGCGGGCGGGTGACCCTATCTTGTAACATGAGTGGGGGTATTAAAGTGATGAAACATGGCTCCGGCAACAGCTGGGTTGGGTTGAAGGAGGCAATTAGATGGCCTGCCCGTTCCAAGCGGAGATCGGAGCCATGGGTCCCAAGCGAATGCCTTGGGTCTCGCGTTTTTCTAGGCAAGAGGGCACCGCGTGAGGCTGGTTTCACAGAGGAGCGACAACCTCTGGCTCCTCCCGGTGGAAGGATCGCAGGCTGCTGCTTCTCCAGCCCGCTATGCCTTGTAGGCCTAGCTGCTTGAGCCGTCACTTTTTTGTCCCACCGCTCTGGTTCTTTATTACTTATATATTATTTTACACTTTGCAGAATTTAGACAAAAAAGAACTGAAGGAAGAACGAGATTTTTCTTTCCTTTATGCATGGTGAGCATGTTATCTGCTTGGACCATCACAATTTCTTTGGACCTCCCAGCGATGCTCTGTTATTGCGATTGCTGGTTCTGATTTTTAAAACTCCAAAGATATCAGCTAAGGTTTTGTCCCCGCATTTGCAGAACCTGGAGGTCTGTTGTGGGAACTACTGTTCTCTGTAGTTTTACAC